ATAAACAAATTATAATTTAAAACTTTAAATAATATAATGTTAATAATTTGTAACAATTGTAATGCACTTTGGATGCAATATAAAAAAAATCGTTATAAAAACTGAATTGGCATATTTTCTTGATAAAGAGGAATAAACTCCACTCAATTTCCCGATGTAATAAAAATTGGTCCATTTTTTACCATTTGGTCCGAAAAATAAATTGGAAATGGCAACCGTGCTTCTGATGTATTAAGTGAAAATGGTGGTGGGCTCGACGTGTGCCGACGTGTTTTTTTCGCTCCGTAGTTTTCGGACTTATTAAACTGTGATCATATCGTTTTCGACTGATTACAATTTGGCTACTTAATGTGTATGAGACAGTGACTCTTTATAAAATTCAAATTCGATAAAATTTAATAAATGCCTTGTTTGTGTGGGCTAAAGGTTGATCGCAACCAAGATAAAATTCAATGTGCCAAATGCTGTGAACTATTTCATTGGGAATGCGTGGGCATTTCTGCTGCCGATTTAGAGTTTTTAGTCGGCTCTAAACGAAAGTTTTTTTGCGAAATCTGTGCTGCTCGCAAGCGGAAGTCCATCTGCTCTCCCCCACCGTCAGTTTGTGGTGATCAGAGCGCAATACTAATTGATGTGCCGACAACGAATTTAAGTGCCAATATGTCATCGCAACAACAAGTGCCAAAACAAATCTCAATTGAAATATCCGCTGTGAGTGGAAGCAATTCGGAAATCAGCCTACAATCATTATTCGCGTTCCCCAACTTGTCTGGGTTAAAACTTATAAAACTGTCACAAAGCAAAAGAAGCCAGAGAACCGAGTATGGGAACGCTTTATGGTAAATTCCTGTAAATTCTTGCAACTTCTTGCGTGTTAGGGAACGCAACTATTGCTTGAATAAATCGCTGGTCTTAAGTCCAAAAATGCTCTTGCTCTGGCTGCAATTAGTTCTCTCCAAGCGGATAAACAGTTGTTTATTGCAAAAAAATGGAACTATGCGCAGAAATAAAAGAAATGCGAAAACATCAAACCGATGTTGTCTCCTCTGCCCTTGCGCCTCTTACCTCTGATATAAAAGCAATACGAAAGTGTCAAAGCGACGATGTCTCCTCTTCCCTTGCGCAGCGTTCTTGTTTGTGAGTTGTTTGTACGAGGCATAGTGGGTAGTAATGTTGTAGTGAGTTAAAAGTCGCACATCGTGTAAAATGTCTACACCTTTCTTCCTTTGAGAACTCTGTTACTGCTTATACCATCATATCATACGTTTCGAAGCACTCGTCTATCGATTCAAGTTTGTTTACTTGTCATATGCTAGTTAAAAAAGACGCTGATGTTAAAATATTGAAGGTAATCAATTTCAAGCTAGGTATACCATTACCTTATTATGATACCCTTCTTATCTCAGCAATATGGCCAACTGATGTGATTGTTCGTCCGTTCGATTTTTTTCGGAAAGCACCACCAAAACCATAACAGATTCCGTTCCCAACGGCAATAACGCAAAATTTGCTTTATTTCACTTTTAAATTTTAAAATAATACCAAAATCTCAGTTTTGCTTTATTTTCCATAGGTTTGAAATAAAATAAATTTTGCCTTATTTCCCATTGCTCATTTATACTATTTGTAACAAAAACAGTTTACTGATACTATGTTTATACGCACGTATTATTTGCAAATAACAATTTGCAAAATGGTAAAATTTGCCGTATAAACTCTGAGCTAATTTTTTATTTGCAAATAACTAAATCACGCAAATAAGTATTGATTAGTGGTACTATTTGCAAATAAGCGCAAGGCGCCGTCATTCTTAGGTTTATTTTCTTTTTCGATGGTCATCTTATTGCCTTTTTGTAATCAAGACGTTGCCATTTTTAACTTTATTTTACTTTTCGATGGTCATATTATTGCCTTTTTATAATAAGGCAATATTAAAGACTTTTTCACCATCGAATAAACAGTGAGTTAGGTATTTGCAAATTATTTTTATTTGCAAATAGCTTACGTATAAACGTAATATGACAGAAGTACAAAGAACTTTGTTTATTCCAAAAATACAATTAAACAAAAAATGTGAGATAATTCATATGAAGAAAGTAATATTGACAAAATATTTATACTTATGAAAAGTCTAACAAAATATAGGAAAAGAGTCGTCTTTAATAACGCTTTTGTATGAATTTTATCTGCATGGTTTTTAAT